AAAAAAAAAAAAAAATGCCACTACGCAAAGCTACTCGACAAAACTACCATTATAAAGATAGCTGGCTCCTAGAATTTGTGATTTGAGGTTCATTACACAAACTACATGTGTGGTTAAGCCTAGTAAACAAATAACCAAGTTCCTTGATATTACAAATATAGCCTTTAGTGGTGACACCTCAATAGGGGAAAACAAAGGCCTCTTGGGGCATATAGAAAGTAACCATAATAAAAAAGACGAGTCTGATGAAGAGCCTGAACCTGCAAATTGGCTGAATTAAATGCACCTAAACGACCCATGACATACCATGATTGAATCACCTGTAGCATAAGTCACAAAAATATTTTAGAGGCTTCATTTTAGCTAATAATGTTAAGCACAAAGAGAAAAAAGAGAAACAAAAGACACAGAAGTCTGTCTAATGCTTCAAAGCATTTAGTAAGAGAAATCAGTATATAAAGGAAAACTACGATACGTACACTACCAAGAAGATCAACATCTCGATCAGAAGGCGATCCGAATAACTCGAACCATATGTTGGAATCAAGAGGATTAAAACTGCAGATCACAAAAAATAAACTTAAAAGCCTCATTTGAATACTAATAATTAATCTTGTCAATAATCAGGAAAAAATTGTCCAATAATAATAGGTTTCTCATGCAAAAATTACAAGGTCAGAGAGTACAAGGGTAATTTGGGTACTATCAGCACTGGAAAACAAGTATCTGGGACGAGTAGAGTTAAAAGGCCATAAGGGTAGAGTTTTATGTATAAATGTAAATCTGAAGGCAAATACAAGGTTCATTACTCTCGAAAGCTAACTTTGAATGCAAGTACAGATCCAGTTTTTGATTTCTGGAAATCCTTCCCTTTCCTTCGAACTCTTTCTTCAACCTATCAAACACAAAGAACGTCAATCTCAAACACAAGAAAAATTTATCTGTGAGTATACATTTTCTCCAAGAGAACACTGCCTTTTTCGTTAGAAATATCTCAACTCTATGTGATAATCATCATCGTAAAATAAAGTGGACAGATATTTCAGGTAACTTCAAGGTCAAAGTAGGTAAAATTTAGCACCAGAGTTAATAGCTCAAGTCCCGAATACATTGCAATTATGGAGATCATTCATTTTTCTATATAATTTAACCAAGCAGATGTTTTAGTGTCACACTGAATTTGATCAAGAACTGTTTAGGACCTACACCGCTAATCCTAAATTTCGAAAAACAATATATGCTAATTCATAAATAATCAGGGAGACTTCAAAATTGCTCTTCATGTTACTTCATTTTACGGTATGTGATAACTTCTTCATATGGTGAGCCTAACAGAAATATCATAAACTCACCTCTTTTAACAAATTAGACGTCCCATGACGACCCTTATAATGCAGTAACTTTAACCATAGGGAACAATAAAACAGGGAAAATCAACACAACGTCCGCATAAAATTTCAATCGACATTCCAACATGGCGGACAGACATTTTAAAACAAACAGAAACGGAAGCTTCCACACATTGAAAGGTATGATAGTTTTTTTTTTTTTCTTCCAGTCAACCCAATATTCTATGAACTTAACTATAGTATTTTGCAGAAAGTACAACGTGACATTATCACCCAATTTGAATAAAATATTAACTTACTCTCTTTCTCATAAGCTCAGGATTACCAATGCTGTCCCCAAGAACAGCCCTAAGCTCAGAATCATTTTTACAGGCATTTTCCAACACCCTGTACATGATTCAAAGCAAACAATAAAATATTCATCAACATCTGCAAATGCAATTTAGAATAATAAAAATAGATAAGTAAATATGAACTCCATACTTTGCCCAAGCAGGATAACCATGAAGACGCTCATAATCTCTTTTTCTCTTTTCCTCTCTAACTTTCAATAAACGGCGTCCTCTTGCTGTCGTCCCAGATCCTTTGGTGGCCTTGCCTTTAAGGCCACCATCATTATCTTCACCGCTCGTGCTTGGAGTTGTATCGATAACTTGATTGATATCGATATTTCCCCTAAAGTTCTTCTGTGCAAATGCTACTACAGAAATTGGTAGCATGTGACACATTGGCTTACTAATAGCAACAAGCATTCTTTTCTTTTGAGGCATTGTTGCTGGAAATATAGTAGTTGAGGGTGGACGCAAAGGGGAATGAGGTCCCTTCAATGCAGCGAAACACGAGCATTGTACATATGAACTAGATATCTCCATTTGCTTCCTATGCTGAATGTCTGCATTTACGTCTCATCTCATCAAATTAAGAGAACTGAAAAGAAAAAATGAAAAAGAGTTGCTGAATGCTTGTGTTTCTTGATCAATGTTACTAATGTCTACTTCTCTTGTATTTTCATGCATGGACGAAAGAAATTTACAGATAAATAAAGTTTTAAAAATCACAACATATGTTTTCTTCTGATTCTTATTCTCTTCTTCTTGCAAATCCCATCACCACTTCAACACGGAGGAAGAGATACAATCATACAACAAGCCCGAACGAATCCAAGTTTCATTACTCAAAAATTCATAAAATCAGACTATGTTTGGACTACAAGTTTGATGAAAACGACACCAGCACTATCTTTCTATTCACCGTTCAAATAAACAAACCAATAAGAAAGGTGCTTTTTGATTATTTTCCTAATTGTATTAGCCCTTCCAATAATTCCATTTCACCCACAATTCTGAGTTCGGGTAAAGAACCAATAAAAAATTTTGAACAAATATCCAAAAGTTACTAGGGCTTGTTAAAAAAAAAAAGAAAAAAAAAAAACATCCAAAAGCTCTACTCAAAAACTTCAAAGATATCCTTCATAACCCATTATTTAACATTGCTGATTAAAACCCCATCAGTGAACTTACACTCTACAAGTTCCATTTAGTAGGCATTTTCATAATTAACACGAGTTTACAAAACCCGTCGAAATTGCAACCAAATTTAACAAACGCCACACTTTACTCTAAACAACCCACATAAAACGATACACAATACATTTGCTCCCATGTCCCCAGTTAATCTAAAAAGATACTAGCTTTTGATTAACAGGAGCTTAAAGATACTAACTTTATATTCTACGAGTTCCATAAGTAGCCAGTTTCATTAATAACACGAGCTTACAAAAACCTTCGAAATTGCAACCAAATTTAACAAACGCCACACTTTGCTCAAAACAACCCATATAAAATTAAACACAATCCATTTGGGACCAAGAACCCAGTTAATCTAAAGATACCAACTTCCAATAATCAGTAATTTTTTTTTTTTAAAAAAAAAAAAA